TGGTCTTGGTCTAAATTCTCAGTCATAAAATGACATACGACTATGTGTGAAAACAAATGATGACGTGTAGCTAGTGTTTGAATTTAAAAGGCAGCGAATTGCATAATCAGGATATCAAATTGAAGACCGTCAGATTTATTCAACTCGTAAAACAAATATATGAGGGCTTTCATGTGATATCCTCTTTATCATTTTATTACAACATGTTATACCATTACAGGTTATAGGATGGAAATCGATTAACAGATTGGTGAAATATTGAGATAGATACAATATCTCGGAATAGGTATGAATGCATTTACAACATTATAATGTAGAATAATATTCATAATATAGTATGAATATTCGATAACATGAAAAATCGATTGGCTTGACTATTTGATAGCGCTAATAATGGGACAAATTTAGCCCTTGTCTACAGGGTCCCTTAATTACAAATATTTATAAACGGTGAATAATTTAACTGTAGCTCATCGGTAGGACATATTTTGTAATATAATACTGCATCGTGACAAACGTCGTAGTGATATACTTATACGAGTATGACTTCGCGGAATCGCTACTCTTTCTACTATGTCTTGTAAATGGAAAGTATATCCATTTAATGAAAATGGCTGAGTGGGAATGATTTTATTTCCTCGGCGGTCGTTATCACAGTTAGGCGTCCCATGTGAGAGATTTAACCCAATGTATTTTTACATGCACTCACGCTTTTGCCGTGAATTGAAAAAGTTGTGATCCGAAGAATTACAGACAACCTCTTTGTCAGCTTAAAAGTATTACGTAATGAATTAGATGCCGGGTGTGACGCAATCTGCGTACAAAAAGTAATCACAGTATACTTTAATCTGGTCGAAGACGATTTTATAAATATTCGGCTTCTCTTTGAACTGATCTTAAAGCATTTTCATTTCGTTTTATGAGTTCTCGAGAAGTCGATTTTGATCGCAGATAGGTAATATCATATATGCCCGACTGAATGAAGTTGCCGAAACACCGATTTTTAAAAATAGAAATGTATGAGTACTTTAGACACTCGCGTGAATTTTACGTCGCCTTCGAGAAATCAGTGAGATGCATAAATGATAATTAAATTTCAATGACACGTCTTAGAAACTAAACTCGATGTCGGCTATAGTGTGACGAAGACAGTGAAATATTACATGGTTCTTTAAGGGGTCAGTAAACGCATGATTGAATGTGACCAGCAGGTTTGAGAAAGTTTCAGAAGGTTTCAACCCAGTTGTATTCAGTTATCTTCCGAACGCTCATTAATCATATATCCTTACAGACACACCACATGCAGAACAAGCTAATGTGAAATCGAACGAGAAAAACATAGCGCCGTAATTACGTCAATACATCGCGTGGGATTCGACAAATGCGAAAGTAATGGTAATGAAGTAATGGTATTCTAACGCAATATTACCCTATCAAACTATAAAAAAATTAAAAATCAAATCATTCGATTTTTGCGGCAAAAGATCGGTCCGTTCGGCCTTTCACGCAATACGCGAGATCTCGCAGTGAACGGAAAATCACATATTACTTGTTTGCTTGTTGGTATTTAAAAAGTCTCGATTAAATGTGTTTTGGCAATTCCACCACGTCAGACATGCGTAATAATGTCAGATGGCAAATGCATATTATATATCATTATATTTTTTAATTGAACACATCAAGTCTGGTAAGTTACATAAAATGTTAATGCATAGTTTGCAGAAAAAGTGAATATTTCAAATTCACGTGAACAGAATTGTATTTTCTCTACAACTATGAATAACTTCATACTTGTGGAAGTGGAGGACCCGTTCAATTATTCTACGCACGTACTCGCGTGGAGTTTAAATGTGATTAGCATAACCCAATTCCAATCCAATGTTTCGTTCGAAGAATAAAGATGTTATTAATATGTTTATGGATAAGATATATGAAACTTGAGACAGTGTCAATGATAAATCATCAATTTTGAATGAAATGAAAACGTACAGTGGAAACCCTTATTAACCTGACAGAGGAAACACTTGAAAGGACGTCGATCGTGCAAACAAACTTGTTTGACTGTATATCCTTCTCGACGAACGTCGCATTTTTACTATATGGTGGACCTAGAACAAATTCGAAAACCCGATATTTTGTCTTCTGTTTACTATATAAATACCATAGCACTGAATGTATACAACATTTGTAATGATGAATTCTTTCCTCGTAAGTATCAAGATTTCCCTGAAATCTTTGAGCACTTGCCAGTTGGTATACGGAATAGCCATACTTATATTACTCATATTTTTGCTCATCGCGCTGTCCAAAAAGATTACCGGAACGTTCGATCGCTCCACCACGCGGAAATCCCGATATCTCGTAGGACTATAGCATTCACTTTAATGATTAAATCAATCCCAAAGTATTCTTATGTGTCAAAATGCACACACACCGACAGAACCTGCAATATCGAAGAATTCATTTGTCAGAATAAACGCAGGAAAAATGTATTAGATCAGCACGAGTAATGTGTTTATTATCTGTGTCATGAACAATAATGCATTCACAAAAAACAGTCAAGACAGTGTTAATTCGACTTATGCACTTATTATCGAAATTTTGAGGTTGATTCAATCGATTAAGAACTACTTTCAATCGTTGACATGGTAACTGTATAATTTGATGTTTCTACATCATTTGACAGACACTAAAGCAAGTGAACATACTGATATTGCTTAACTGGCATCTGATGCCTTGACAAGATTGTCCCGTTCTCATCGTATCTATGCTGTCATTAATGCTCGACATCAATTGGCCGGTAATAAACACGTTCATTTCACATATCTGAAAAACTCAGTTGAGTCGAAGCATTTTTTACAAGGCAGACTTTGGTACTTCGACGAATTGGGTAGCCAATCAGGAACATTCTTGTAAGCTTAGCTTCTTGGATAGCCAATCAGGAACATTCTTGTAAGCCTAGCTTCTTGGGTAGCCAATCAGGAACATTCTTGTAAGCCTAGCTTCTTGGATAGCCAATCAGGAACATTCTTGTAAGCCTAGCTTCTTGGATAGCCAATCAGGAACATTCTTGTAAACCTAGCTTCTTGGATAGCCAATCAGAAACATTCTTGTAAGCCTAGCTTCTTTGATAGCCAATCAGGAACATTATTGTAA